GTTTCCTTTGTGCTTCTCTGAACTTCATCTGAAGTTCATCCTGCTTCGAGGCATCTTAATAGTCCAGTAGTGTTTCTAGCAGCGTTTCTCACTCGTGACTGAAAGCAGCTCTTCATGCCTTCTGACCTGACCCAGTTAGTCAAACACTGGCTTATTTAGACACAAAACACCAACACGCCACGTTCAACTGCGGCGCCATCGATCTCATGCTCAGCCATTTTTTTTTTCTTTTTTTGCCATCATTAAAGTCCTTTGACTGACTCTTTCCTCGGGGACACTTTACTCTCGAGTTCTTCGGCACACAAGCGTAAAATTAGACCGAACTCAAAGTCTCTGAGTTTGTGCTGAGGAGAAAGTGGGCGTTTAAAGAGACCGTTGTGATTATTTTTGGTCTCAATGCAGCTTCTGTGCACTTTTCCACCAACTGATAGAGTAATTTTAACAGAGTTTCTGAAGGGGATATTTACCATGTGTGGATGTGTGATAAATGTATGATACACAGCAGAGCTGTGTTTGTGTTAACTTGTGTGTGACAGCAGTTTGGAAGTTGAGTTCCTGAGTGGCTTTAGTGCAACTTGAGGGTTCATGGAGGGGTGGTGGGGTATATTTTATTAGAAAATACAAAATAATAAGAGATGTATTATAGCAGCTACTTTTAGGAGCCATTTTCAGTGCAAAATTTAGAAAATAATAATAAAAAAAAATCCTTTCTGTATCTTTGTATTGTCCTCTGCATCCAAAAAACTTTCATCAAATGTCTCTGGTTGGTTTTGCAGCATTCATCAGGAGAGACGTCATGATTGGTTGAAATAAATATTAATAATAATTTCCATAATCATTGCCATCATTGCATCATTGATCGTCTCAGGTCACGGACAAATCCAGTGGAAATCCTGTGGGACGGGTGGAAGAGACGAACGGGGTAAGAAGGGAAGTGTGTTAACGCACAAATAGTAAAAACAATGCGGTCAGCTTAAAGGGTGTGTTCTTCAAAATATCCATTTTGGGCAATAAAAGTTGAATTTTTACAGATCCCTTCCATCGGTGCCAACCGGGGAAGGCGTAGTAAGTAACTATGAAGTGTTGCTGGTTACTTTTCAGTACCAATTTACTACTGTTCCCGAAGAAACATTTTCCTTGCAGCGGGGTGGGGAAAAGAAAATAAATAAATATGTACCGAGTAAATGACGCCCACATTTATCTGAATCATGCCTCGAGTAGTAAAAGTTTTTTTTCCGTCTGTTGGTCCAGATTACAAATGCAGAAACCTTCCAGTTTATGTGCAGAATATTTGTTTCATCCTTAAACTTTTGTTCTTCCTCTTTGTTCCCCATAAAAGCCTCCCAGTTGGGAAGCTTTATTCTGCTCGGCGCTGCCAGCACACTGGATTTGATGTCCCACGTTGTGCTGGCCGTGACAAAGCAAGACACTAAAGTCTGATTTGAGCAAAACGTCCAGACCGAAATGCCTCGCAGTAAAATATAATGTGAATTTGCTCTGAATCCTGCTTACATGAATCAGATTTGATGTGGTTTAGCTTAGCTGGATTCCACCAGAGGTAAACACAGCGACCTGATGTGAAGCAGCAGCAGCCAGGATTAAATGAACAGAGTCAGGCTGGAATCACATTCCTACATACAGATAAAACGATTTGCGCGGCTTGTGGCCTTCACCCCATCTTCATGTCGCTGCTTTGACGGACTGAACTCAAAAAGCTTTACTCGGTCTGCGTAAAAGCGCACTACGCCGTTTTGCTCATTCACACATTCGGAGTTGAATCTCCGAGTGAAAAGGACGAAGCGAAGCCCTCCTGTTCAGGTCAGGGTAGTCATAATTCAGCTCAGTGTTACAAGCAAGGCTAACCATGCCTTACCCAGGCAATTGTCTCTGAGAGTGTAGCAGTGACAGCAAACATATATCACACACACACACACCCACAGACACACGCCTGCTACTGAAGGTGGCTCTGAGGTCAAGGCCAAACAAGGTTATTCCTGCAATCTTTTCAAATGCTTTCTTTGCACTGAAGCGCCTGGTTAAGATGCATTAAAATACTCTGTTCAACCCTTTAGCTTGAGTCCATTTAATGACTCAAGTGAGATTTTTAATGTTTTTTTTTTACATCACTAGCACCCGTAATGACTCCTATAACATGGAACTGATGCGTTTCATTGATTTCCACTTCACTTTTAGTAATGTCTAATTATGCATTTGTTGAGCGTATAAATATAAAGAAAATCACAGTGGCCCAGTTTTCCAATGCACTCTTCAAAATGGGAAAGACAAAAGGACATGCCTCTAGAGTAAGGCTGATGAGTGAGAAGAGAGGTTACAAAAAACAATTAACCACAGACTGATTAAATTCTTTAAAATGAGACTATTCTACTGCAATAAAAATAAATACAATTATATTTTAGGGTTTTTCATATCTTTACCAGGAATGTTGATAACTGTATGGAGAATCCATCCATCCTGATCAAACATTGCAATTTAAGGACTGTCAAAGCCACTTCTATCATCTTATTGAAATTACAATACCCTAAGAAGATGTCCGCTTTGCGTTCATTTGTTTATTCGCATTTTATATAATGCAGCTGTTTGGTTGTGCAAATAAAAGCAAAATGCTTGATTTACAACCTTAAAAATCTATAATGGACCTAAAATTCCTTTCACTCAAGTAAACAAAGTGGATTTATTAAGTTACTCTTAAAATGCCATGAAGCGGAGAGGTACCTGTCGATACAAATTTCGTCCATGTTTTTGCTCGGTTCAAAATAAATACATAGAACTAAGCGAGAAAATATTCACCTTTCAATTTTAACCTTCGAAAGGTTTCAACTGCAGGGATTTAACGTTTGTGCTGTGCATATTTACCTGAATCTCAAGGTAAGACAGAAATAAATGCATCAGACTAAGATAAACTCGTAGATTAAGACGTCATTTCCAGTTTGTTATTTTCAAGGTCTGTAAAATGTAAATTTCTGGGTCTTTGACAGTCAACAGGCCACAGTTGGATCTAATCTTCTGCTGTTGCCCAACAACCAATTAAAACCGCAGCGGATGGAGAAGATTTACTTTGGCCGTTAATAATACAGCTAATTTATCTGAAGAAAATAGGACAGCCGTGATACATTTCACCAAAAATGAAACTCCCGATTAGTCAAACGCAAAGCAACGCTGAATAATTTCCATCGCTAATCCAGAGAGCTAATTAGAACAGAAAACATAAGTGATCCACATTCTGCAACCTTCAGATGCGTCTATGAATAAACACTCTGATGCCCACTGGCCAACTTTACAGGAATCCGTGTGCCGTGATTGGCTGGTTTGCCGCAGAGAGTCATCTGGCGGAGCGCATCCTGGCTGAGCTGTTCAAAGCCAACGTCACATTACCAGCAGAGGAAAAGAACAAAATCAGTCAAAACTGGGTCAGAGGAGGCATCGTCACGCAGATCACATCCAGTGATGCAATATCAGAGAGCATCCTCATGAACTGGCCATCTGAGATTTAAGAGCCTTTGAATAAACCTTAAATATAAAAGGTATAAACATGTGCAGCTAAACTGTGTTTGTATGAAATGTAAACATGCTGCACCATCTGCACAGCCCTTGTCGCTTAAATGTGGTTGAGCTTAAATGAAAATACATATTAATTTGGGAGGAATTATTCACTCCAAGGAGGAGCAGGTAAAATGTTACCTTTGTTGCACAACAACAGTACTGCACTTTGCAAGTAGCTCGTGCACAAAGTATCAATCTCTACTTTAGTTGTTTAGAATATTGAGGAAGGTTTAATTGGTAATCCATGACTCTGCTTTCCTGAGGTATAAATATGGGAAATAAAAAAAAAGTATTTTCTTTTCTGCCATCAGAAATATAAATATGTGGTATATTAACACACATTACAAGCACTTGACCCGGAAGTGTTGACTTCCAGTCAGATGAAACAAAGATTGACCCAAAAACAAAATATAAATTTGTGGAAAATGTATATTATGTTCACTTTCCTAAGTATGGTTGAGTGTTTGTCATGCTGTGGATGTTTCCATTACAAAGTCCTTGGGAACATTGTCAGTCATGACAGTGAAAGCTAACAGAAGATCAAACTATTTCTGCAAATAAGAAAAGTAAAATGCGGTTGTCTCCCTTATAGAGTTTTAACCACACATTAGAAAACATTTCTGCATGCCTTACATGTATTTTTGTTGTTTTGTTTTTTAATGTCTGAACTTTGATAGTTCATAAAAGGTCATTATTTTAGTTTCCAACACAGGAAAAATGAAAGACAAAACCAATATTGTTCAGGTTTTCTGATGCAACAACGCTAAAGATCTTCTAGTTATTCCACTGAATTCTTAGTTAATTGATTGAAAGAATATTTTTGCAGAACTGTGTTGTTGATGTTAAATGAACCATGCATCAAATCACTAAAAAACACCGCCTTTTGTCATGCTGCATTTCTGAAGGCTTATAAACTCTCAAGGAAAGTAGATTTTTTCTGTGGTTTAAAATGCCTGTTACACAAGAACGCCCACACTGCAGACGGCACAGCTACTCTGCTCTTTCTAAAACAAAAAAAAACAGAAGACTAATTTAAATAAAAAAACACTCCTAAGAAGAGGAACAGGAAACAAGCAGCAAACAGAATTCATTACGGCAGAAATAATTAGACTCATTTCATGCATAGATTGGTTAATATAAATCCCACCAGCAGCTCATCCAGTAACTCATATTTCTCAACCTGCTGTCAAAAGTGAATTTCTAATTTTGGCAAGTCTATTCGAGCGTGTAGCAGTGAACCCCACCTACACAGCTGAGGAGATCCCTCTGGGTCGGCGTTCAACCATCACTTTTGCCCTTTTCTTCACCCGGACAACAACTCCCGAGTCACAAACCAAACCAGTGTGACCACAGTGAACCACGCGAGCGGCTGCAGCTGCCCACCCGTAAACCCACGCTTGCTTCCCAACACTCCCCAGCTGACCCTTTGGCAAGCCTACCGTCTTCATAGAAGACATCCTCCGCTTCTTCACGCATCATCTCATCCAGGTCGTCCTCTGGAATGTCGGTCACGGCCATCGGTATCCCTCCCCGTCTGAGAAAACGTCTGGGCTGCGAGAAGGAATCGACTCCGGCCCGGGGCCTCTTCGCTCCGATCCACCGGCAGGCTCCTCACACGAGAAGGGAGAAGACTGGGACTGAGCTGAGCGTGCTTCAGCTGTCTGCACAGCAATGTGTGCGTGTGTGTGTGTGCGTGTGTGTGTGTGTCAGGTGAAGAGTGGGTGGGTGGATGCAAGAGAGGACACCCAGCGACCTTCACCAAGTTTCAGCAAGCGTGCCGATTTCATAACATCCTGTGCAAAAGCTGAAGTGAGAGTGTGCCGTTTGGAGAGCACTTGTACGAGTAAGTGTGCGCATGTGTGTGTTTATGAGAGTGTGCCGTAAGAGGAGCGTCAGTGGTGTGTGTGTGTGTGTGTGTGTGTGCATGGGTGTCCATATCCACAGTACAGCTCTCCACAATGAGTCAGCTCGAGCGCTTGGCGATCAACAGGAATAATTCGATGGCATGTTTTGAGCCGGCACAAACATGCAAAGAAGGCGTGAAAGTGAGAGTTTAGCCTGGATATGAAGCGTCTCTGCTGGCCGTCCTTTCACAGCCCACCGGGACTTGTGGGACAACACTGACTGCTCTCTCTATTTTTTCATTTGGCCCACTTCGAGGGAGCTTTGGCAGTGCCGATAAAGTCTGGCGTCATTTGCCGTTTCTGAAAGCTTCCCCAGAGTGGCGCAGGCTGCAAGTAAGCACTCTCACCTGCTCTGAGCAGAAAGCAATTTAAACCAGGCAGAATATTTATCTAGTAATGTTAGCAGAAAGATCCTTCTATTAGTCACAGAGTTTGTACCCCTTGACCTTTGAACTCTGCAACTAAAACCACAAAAAAGGAAAGGTTTGGATAACTCCTGGGACATTTTCTTGTTAGTCATGTCCTGTCCAGCATCGCAGCACTCAGGATTGTTGTCCAAGTGCCAAGTAGCCCAACTTTCACAAGAGGAGCTTTTGATATAGAAACGCTCCTCTTAAATTGGACTGGGTACGGAAGTGAAAAAGAAAGGGAGAGAGGTGTGGTGAAAAGTTTAAAGGTAAAGAAGGAAATAGGATTTCCATCGCCCCGGCTTCCCTGAATTCTCTTCCTCCTTTTTGCAAAACCCGTCTCTTTCTCCCTTTACTCTCCATGCCGTTTCCCTGACTCACCCGATTTAGACAAACCAATTTGAAACCAAAATAGAAAGTAGGCCTCAAGTCAGTTCATTATCACATTTCCCTCAGACCTGCCCTCCTCTGTCACTTCCCTTTAAAGCTGAAGCTCATGGGAACAAGCCTGGCAGCAAACTCATTTTCCGCAGAGCGAGTTCAGACAACGTCTGTACGTCAAAACCGTCGTCAGATGCTGACCAGATCCAAAAATGAACGTGACGATCTTGTGGACAGAGCTAATATTGTGAATATTGTGTGTAACATTGAGAAGAAAGGGGACGAGACAGAGCTAGTTACCGAAAGTGGAGTCGACCATCTCAGCCACCCAAAACAGTTTTCTAAATTAGTTTTTAATCCCATCGCAAAGATTTTAATCTCAGCAGCAGCTGGCACAAGCTACCTTCTCCAATTCATGTGAAACTGCTGGTCAATAATTCAAGGATTTTAAATTTGTGTTGCGGCAGAGAACATTGGTTTGTTCAGTTTAAAGCTTGAGAAACAACCTCAGGAAACCGTTTCGCAGATTTCAGCTTTGCATGTTTTAAATAAACTAAACCACAACTCCTCGTCTTCAGCATTTTAAAACAAATCTACCGATATCAGTTTGTGTAAATCATGGGTCCAACCTTTTTGCAGTAACGGCTACTGAGTAATTCAAATGGGTACCAGTTTAAAACACACAGTTTACCTTTAATTATATACTTAATGATTAATAATTGATGTGTTTTTGGAACGGCCCTATTGTCTATGCATATGGTCTTCGTGGGAAACTTTGTTCCTGCAGGCACCATTGTAAATCTTCCAACAGCCTCATACGCTGAGAAATCAACACCAAGATACAGATTTACATATGTTCTCCTTTAATAAATTGATTCCAGGTTCATATTTAAAGGTGTGTTTTTGCACAGGCTACAGGTGATGTACTCTGCCACGCAAAAGGATTTCCCCTAGACTTTGTCACAATACAACCACAAGCTCTACTCGATTTTATCATAATTTTATATAACAGATCACCAGGACAGAGTCCTGCATGTGTAGTTTAAT